TCCCCTGGCTGGTAAGGTGCATGCAGAGGGTGGGGTGAAGTCCGTCACGGAACTTGGTGGCCTTCTTCAGTTCAGTATCCACCATGTGAGGAGCAAAGGCACTCATGCGGGTGAAATCCCGCTCATACTCCTTGACAGATTGGGTCCCTTGACAGAGACCCCCAAATTCGCGCTCCATTCTGGCACGGTAGCTCTTTAGGTAATACTTCTCGAGTACTACCTGATTCATTCCATCCCAAGTGAGGTTGGCTTGCTCACCCAGCCTCAGTCTCTAGTAATCAGACCACCACATTACGGCATCACCATCAAGCTGGTAACGACCGCAAACCACTTTCTTTGCATCAGTGCACTGTAGAAGATCAAAAATCCGCTCAAGCTTGGGAATCCATTCTGCCACGGCTGTAGACCCTTTCAACACCGGTGAAAGTCGGTGGGCTCAGCCGCTGAAACTGGAGAACCACGTTGAGATGGTCATCAGCCTGGGTAAGAACCGACTGGTGGGGTGTAGGTTGCTGCTGGTTGTTGTTGTTGCGAGTTTGACGTGCCATAGTATTACATCGAATAGGCCGAAAAGATTTAGCACAAGATATAAAGTTCTAGAGTTAATCATTAAATACTAGAGTTCAAACTGAACCAAAGGTGGATAGATTTCCTAAGCCCCAAAATAACAAGTCACATCACAAGTAGTTTCACTGCTACTTTTGCAAAACTACACAATTCACATTATAAGCATTTTCATTGATACTTATATAAAACATACCTTTAAACAGTGCGGCATGACAAAGATGAGTGGTCAAACACAAGGTAAAAATTTACATAATCACATAAACATGTAATTCACACATAGAGCAGTCTACAGAAACACAGACTGGCTCTGATATCAAACTGTAACGCCCCACTTTGATTTTAAAGAAATTTCAGACTTTTCAAAAATCAATAAAACATTTTTCGAATTCCTTTTCGAAATCATGGGCATTATTCAACATTTACATAGATCAAGTCATGTCTGATCTCAAAAGGATTCATTACTCGGTTTTTTCACATGGTTTTCATTGACTGATAAACAACAATTATCTTGTTATTCAACGTTGTAACTTAGCATGAACAACCAATACTGACGTGATATTCAAAAGACACATCAAACATGAATATCCAAATAACTTGTTCCATAAGAACGAATCCAAAAAAAAAGGGTTTTCAAAACAAACCAATCCCAACATTTTCAAAGTCAAGTTTGAAATCAACTAACATGTCCAATAAACTCAAACATAAGGTTCATAGAAAGCGGAAAAAAAAAAAAGCAATATTAAATGACCATCCACTCGTCTCTTTATTCGTCACGCCTGCAACTTCCTTAATCTGGAACCCGTGGTGCTCACCACTATGCACATAAACAATATATAATGTTAAGAGGGTATGGCCGCAACATGAACATAAAATAATAACATTATGTCTCATCTCCTATCCACAACACACCAATTAACTCACTCATGTGTACACATCTATCATTAGCCGCAGAAAGGGGCTACATAAACCCTAACGGCGGGAGTGCGTGCCACGCATCGAACGCGACCTTACATAGGGGCTTACGTACCTCACAAGGGCACTGTCATATTAGGACTTTAAGGAGATTGCCTCACAAGGGCACCGTAATGTAACTGACGGGGAGACGGCCTTAACAGCTCGCATCGATAGGCTACATGGTTCACATGCATACTTTTGATCATACCAACCCAACACACATAAACACATATGGCATAGCAATTTTAGAATAACAACCCACCTGGACAAAAGCAGGAGATATCACGAAAAAGCGTGTAGGCAGTGTGCTCGGCTCAACAAGCACCTACAATAAGTCAAGATACTACGATCAACACCTTATCTTGACCTTAGAGGGAAACACAAACTCATACTTAGTCGAACATGATTCAGCTAAGTCGTTCGTGAAGTTCTTTGGACATTGGAACACTTGGTTCTAGCAACTAGACTCGGCAAAACCATTTAATGGCATTAAAGACAGACTAAACACGAAAAACAGGGTTGACCGGGTCAAAAGAAATTGAATGGTTTGGGAAAATCAAGAAAATGGCTCGGGACAGCTCGACACGGGCGTGGGTTGGCCGGCTGGCACGGTCGAGGCACTGCGGCGGTGTACTAGGCTCGGTCGGGCTTACCTAGTGCGATGGGGTGCAATACCGTGGGGCGCGGGAGTGCGGCACAGGGCGCTGGGGCGCTGTTGAGACGCGGCAGCACGCTGGGGTGCATGATAGGCATGCATGGGGCGCTGACAGGGCACAGGCAAGGGTACAGGACCGGGGGACATACTAGGGTTTAATAAACACGACCGAACATTTTGAAAATATACTCGGGCATTTCCCTTGAAAATTTACCACATCAAATATGACCCAAAAACACATATTTTCACCTAGGATTATCCCTCAAAAATCATTTTAACCCGATGAACGAATTTTTGCAAAATACTGGATCAAATCTTAACTTTAAAGTTCTCCAGGAAAACCTTCGAGTTTTGACTTGAAATTTGGATACAACACACATCATGAAAGAATAATCTAACTCACCAAATTTCACATTAAAATTCCACTAACTCGATTTTACCTAGAATTTTCAAGTTTCTGACCAGAAATCAAAATCGATAGTTCTCATAGCTACATGCCGAGATTTGACTTGAAAATTGTACACAACGTATATCAACCTCAGAGTACCACATATAAAATTTTAACTCATTTGGCCAAGAATACGATTTAACATGATTTTTATAAAATTCAGCAGCTAGACCGATTTCAAAAATTCACCAATGACTCCAAACACATTGAATACATCCAAGGCCTTCAACATAAGGCCAAGGACTCTCAAATGTTCCATATTCCACAGCCCTAAGGCGAATTCCATAGGATTTCATATGATTTCACAAGAACCATTAAAGATCTACACATAAACATTTATAAATAAACCCTAACAAGCAAATAATACCAAGGCATCATTACATCACTTGATATCACATCAAAAATAAAGGGTTTAACAGCCTTGGTACCGTTCTTGAGAAAAATCACGCGAAAGGATCGAATGAGGGTCGAGACGGGGCTGTTGGCGCGCTGGCGGGGCTCGACAGTATGCGCGTGGCTCTCCTGCGGGGAGTGGGCGCGTATGCTAGTCGTCTACGCATGCACGAAGTCACTGGACTCATTGTCAGCAACGGGGACACATGACAGCAGCACGATCGATAGACGGGGATTGCGATACACGAACAGAGGCAATGATCGAGGTCCTGGAGTAGCACGCGGGAGGGACGATGGCAGCGATGAGCACTCACGTTCAGCGGGGCGACCTACGTGTGCAGGGATGGCATTGCGATGGCGATGAGGGACGACGTGCTGGGACTCGCGACGGCCAATGGCCGAGAGTGACGGTGATGGGTGGCAATCGGGTGAGGGGATTGAGCGAGTGTGAGTTTACGAGAGAGAGATGGAGAGATTGGAAAAAGCTGCAGGGTTTTTGAAGAGAATAGGGGAGGGTACAACAAATATATATACTACTAGGGTCAAGAAAAACTTACCATACAAGTTACATAACACACAAGAGAGAGAGGGGGTCGGGTACCAAGCAGGCGTGGGCGTGGGTGTGGGCGCGGGTTTGGGCTTCAGGCCCGTGGGCCAAAGGGCCGAAGGCGCGGGTCGAGTGTTCTCTCTTGGTTCAACACTTAGCCAAATCACGAAGTTCGGTTCGATCGCAACGATAAAATAATGTTGAACAATATATATATATATATATATATATATATATATATATCATGCAATAATAATAAATAGTCCAAAAAATATCTATAAATAAACGGGGCATTACATCAATGTTGATTCATCCGTGTCTATTGACGTGCTTGAAAGTGTTGTCAGTGAACATGATACACAAATTGAGACCTCGAACCTTGGTAAAGAATGTGAGAAAGAAGAAGGTTCATGTACATCGGGAGGCTCACCAGGAACTCAGACGGAATACAATGTTCCCACCACTGCAACTCAAGTTGAACCAAAGAGAGATCCACCTTTGAAGATTCAGAAAGCTCATCCATCTGAACTGGTTATTAGAGATTTGAATGAGAGGGTAACCAGGAACTCAAAAACCTCAACTAGAGCACTCATGGGCATCTCCCACTTTGCATGTTACACCTCCCTGGTAGAACCCAAGAATTCAAAGGAGGCACTAAAAGATGAATGTTGGATCTCAGCCATGCAAGAAGAATAGAGCAATTCAGTATAAATGATGTCTGGGAGCTTTTGCCAAAACCTTCGTCGGGAAATGTTATCAGATCTTCAGAAACAAAACTGATGAGTTCGGTAATGTGACTCGCAACAAGGCCAGATTGGTTGCTCAAGGCTACACTCAGACTCAAGGGGTGGACTTTGATGAAACCTTTGCTCCAGTTGCAAGGCTTGAATCGGTATGTATATTTTTATCAATTGTCTGTCTAATGAAGTTCTTTGTTTACCAGATGGATGTAAAATCAACATTTCTAAATGGAATATTGCACGAAGAAGCTTATGTGAAGCAGCCAGAAGGGTTCAATGTTCCCAGTAACCCTAATCATGTCAACAGACTCAAGAAGGCACTGTATGGTCTGAAACAAGCACCTCGTGCTTGGTATGAAAGACTTACAATGTACCTTCTGAAGAAGGGGTTCATGCGAGGGGGAGTCAATCAGACATTCTTTGTCCTGAAAACCAATATTGACTTGTTGGTGGTTCAAATCTATGTAGATGACATCATATTTTGGTCAACCTCGAAGAAACTGGTGAATCACTTTGTCCAGCTTATGTCTTCTGAGTTTGAAATGAGTCTGGTAGGTGAACTTTCATACTTTCTCGGTCTTCAAGTGAAGTAAGGTAAAGATGGTATCTTTTTGCATCAAAGTAAATTAAAAAGTTTGGTCTTGAAAATGCTAAAAACCCTCAAACTTAATGGGGACTCATGTAAAAGTGTCCAAGGATGATGAAGGGACATCTGTAGATCAAACACTGTACAGAAGTATGATTGGTAGTCTTTTGTATCTTACTGCAAGTAGACCTGACATTTGTTTCAGTTTTGGACTTTGTGCCAGGTACCAGCCTACTCCCAAAGAATCTCATATGAAGGCAGTCAAGCACATAATTAAATATGTTGGAGGTACATCAGACTATGGTTAATTTTACTCTGCTGAGGCGAACCTACATCTTGCAGGTTATTGCTGTAACGCCACCATCAGTTATAATATCAGAACGGTTTCATTTGCTCGACGTTAAAGTGAAATTGGTAATTTAGATTTCTGAGTTGATTGGCTAAGTGAATTATTACATAAATTATTGTGATATATATGTGTTTATATATGAATTATGTTTTCATTTATGTTAGTATGATCTAGTTATATCATTTCGGTCGTGCCGATATTTCGAGATCGTGCATTGAGCCCTAGTCGAGCCCTAGCCGAGCGCCTAGCCATGCGCCCGCACAAGTCGGCACCACTCGAACCCTATACCTTAGTAATCTTTGATGTGCTCATCATAACCATGATTTATTTCTTAAATCCTAGAAATGGTCAAGCCATCATGAGGCCGAGACCATGCGCGCGAATGCACTCCGAGTCATGAGCGTAGACCCTAACCTATTCCATTCTTTAGCTTATGTCTATGCAATTTTTCAAGGGGATTTATTAGCCATATATTAAGTATTTTTTTAGCCTAAGTTTTGATTATCAAGGTCAAGCCTCATTAGTCTTAATTAAATTCATAAACAAGCATGGGTGGGATTGGTTTTTTATTTAATCACATGTGTAAGACATGTTCCCCACTTCATTTCTTAGTGGCATGACAAGATTTTCAGCATTATTTAGTTCTCATGGTCGTCCATAACCAGACCTCAATGCTCCACTTCCAATGCCCTCACATGCTAAGCTTTAGATCATCATTGGAAATGAGTTCTTCCACATTTGTCTCCTATTTTGATTCCATTTCCTTGCATTGTTAGCTCCACCATTGACCATGATTTGGAGCCTTTATAAACCTATACTCCAGATGAGGAATTTCCATTTTTCTCACTTCAAGTCTCAGCCAAGAATTCACCCAAACACTTAAGCATAAAGCATAAAACCGAGAGTGAATATATGAGAGCAAGCAAAATTCCGAGTGCATCCTTGTGCTTATTTTCGAGTTCTACACATCAAACCTTCATAACATCAGCTTAATATCATCCTCCCTCATCCTAATCTCATCCTAGAAGGGTTTTGAAGCCCCAAGTTCAAGAAGGGAAGCAAGAAGCCGCAGCTATACGAGGACCGAGCAAGACCGAGCATACCCGACTGTCTTTGCATTTTTCTTGACGATTAATGAATTGGTGTACTCAAATATTTTTAGAATCATAATATAGATGAGATATGGAGTTGATTGGTATAGATATGTGCCATATATGTTCAGTTATGAAGGATATATAAGCATGCAAAATGTATAAATGCTTCCAGCTCACTTGCATGTTCCATATGTCATGTTTTCGTACGTTTTTGGCTATGCTATGAAAAACCTGAGAAACTATGCTTTATACGGCTATTTCTTGTGTAAAGGAGGAGTTTACAGGATTAAGAATCAAGTTGTTTAGACTAGTATAACTCGAGTTTTAGATTTTTTAAGATAAGTATGCAAGTTAATTTTATATGGCAGATTTCAGCTACGACTTCAAACGCGAATAACTCGAGTTCTACTCAGGATAAAATTATGAAATTTTATTGACATGTTTATATATGAGTTAAAAGCTTGCATATCAAAATTTATGATTTTATCTTAAGAATTGAGTGAGTTATGAATTTTACAAATAGATGGTGCAAGCAGTTTTTCTGTGAACCCGACAACATGTTATATTAAATGTATGACCTTTTTATCATGTCTTAATGTGCTGAAACGCAAAGATGATCTTCATGAAAGTTATAGGTGTATTTTAGTAGCTTTTTAATAAGGTATGGTGCATGCTGATATGAGGTCTATAGTGTGAATTAGAGGCCTAATACTGAGGTGCTGTTGTAACATAAATTTGTTTCTGACAGATTTCATGAACCAAATATTTTATATTTAAACTCATTGAACGTATTGTTATTTGCCAATGTGATCTTCTGAAAAGTTGTAGATATTTGAGTTAGCTTCTATGTTGTTTTTGAATCTCACTAAAAGCATGTTTGTAGCTTCATTTATCCTACAATTACTGAAGTCCTGTCAGCTGTATGATTTCAATTGTGGACTGCAACTCGGTTATGAATATTTGTTGAATTATCTCCTGCTAAATGACCTTATTTGTTTTCGATGTCTTCATAAGAATTGTAGATGCATATCTTAGGGTTAAAATGCAACTGGAATCATGATTATATGACAAGTGTGCTGCAAGTTATGTTGACTTTAAAATCGCTACGATGGTTAGGTTTTGAAAACTCTTGTTTTATTTTAGGAAATAGAGTTTACTTTTATAACGCGTGCTTATATAGCCTATATGAGCTGAGTTAGATCAAGTGAATGTTTCTTATATGTTTATATAGCTTAAAGAGAGTCGAGCCTCCGACAGCTACTTCAGTTTCAAGCACTTGCAACAGATATTT